GCTACTCACTGGGTGGCATAAACCCTGAAGCAGCAAACAGAAGGGAGCAGACTGCCCGGTCAGACTGATGTTGGAAATGGGAACGAGAACATATTATCCATGTTAAAGGTGGAAATGAGATAATAAACATCGCATATGCAAAATATCTTTTATATTTTATATATGCAAAAGAAAAATTTGTCAAAATACCCTAGAAACTTGCTACATGATGATTTAGGCTGAGAAGGGGGAATGTACACAACAGAAAAAGGACAGAGGCAGGAGAGACTTTTTACTTTACATTTTTATATTTCTGAGCAAGCAAATGTGCTATGCATTCAAAAATTTAAAAATAAAGTAGATAAATGCAGTCTATTAGCCTTTTCTGTTATGGAAGTTTCCTATAATAAAGAGTCTTCCTACATTGTTTCTAAACTTGTTCTAAGAAGGGAACACCATGTTAAGGAGCTTTTAGCACAGATTTCATCAGCTGCATCAAGTTCTAGGGCAAAATATCATTGCACAAGACACTTCCATAGGCCACTGTGCTGTTCCCAAAGGCTGTCATGGTGGGGACAGAGACAGCATGGTCAGGAGCACACCAAGTAGCAGGATCTCATCAGTCAGCAAAGACCACCCACAATCTCTGAGGGAAGAGAATAATGTTAAGTAACTAATTCACCTGTCATTCAATGTCATCCAGTCATGACTTCATTTGTAACACTATCATGACATTTCTCACTCAAAAGGTGATCAATTAAACAGGGTGGGGTTGGAGGCCAGGGGCCTGGGTCCAGATCTCTCACATAAGGTCTAAGGTCTCAATGGTTTACATCTCATTTGAAAAATGAACACTTAAAGACTATAAAAATCTATAGAGTTCATTTCCTAGCATTAAATAAAATTCTGTGATTCATGAAATGCCAGATTTTTGACCAGCCTGCAAACACTAACAATGGCACATCTATACAGTGGAGGAAGCGAAGGACATGGTAAAGAAAAGACCTAAACAAGTTTCACTAAGGCAGAGACCAAAAGTACATTTTGAGGAACTTTTCTTTAGCTTCACCTGCAAAGTGACTTTTTTTTTTTAAAAAGTTGTGTGTGAGGCCCTCCCTGGTGGCGCAGCGCGTTAAAGCACAGCACT